TATATATATATATATATATATATATATATGAAAATTAATATTGAAAGTTATTTGATCGAAAATTAAATACTAAATTTTTCTCACATTAATATATATTTCAAAAAACAGCATTTACATTTTATGATAGAACTAATCCATTATCGCCATAATTATTCAATTTTAATATATATATATATATATATTCAAAAAAAATTTATATATAAAAAAATTAAAAAATAAATCATGATATTTTTTCGAATGTGTAATTATTTTATTAAAAAAACTATAAAATAAAATTTTGTTGAAAATTGTTTTTATTTAATAAAGAATTTTTATGTTAGATATTAACATAGAGATTTCTATATATACATGCATAACTCCAATGTAATCAATATTTAATGAAACAAATAACTTTTATTAAGAATTTCAAAAACAAGTTTACATTTTATTTTATTAAATAAATTTGAATTAATGTGCTTATTAAACAATTAATTTGTTCAGGAGGGTTTTTTTTTAAATTTCGTAATATCGAATTGACACATAACTAATCCATTAATTAAAAAAATATTTTAATACATTTTTTCTAATATTCTTAAAAAGATTGAAATAACAAAAAGTTGAAATAAAATAAATTTTTAAATTACTATTTGTAAAATTTTTAAATTATTATTTTATTGATCGAAAATTATTGTTCTATTGTTTAAATTTTATGTACAATTTGTATATACAATTTTATATAGAATGTGTTCAAAAATATAAGATCATTCATTAATTGGAGATTTCTGAATGGCTTTATTAACAAGTTATAAGAAAAAAAAATATTAGCCGATCATAAAACACATAGTCGAGTAGCAATGATAGCGTTGGCTAATTGACTAAAATAATATATGTTGAAGAAAATATATTAAATATTATAATTTATTTATTGTTTATAATATTATTTGATATAATTTTGTATTGAAAAAAAAAATTTGTTACATTCAAACACTTTGTTATATATTGCTTGAATTTATTTTGTTGTGATCGTCGGTGGTATAGCTAATGTTACACGGTTTGAGTAAGTTATCCGTTCCATGATTGGTCAATGTTTTTTGTTAATAAACACTCGAAACGAATATTTTTACAAAGAAAAATATTATGTAAAATTACATCAGAAATCTTTGGGGACTCTTTATGTATCATATAATTTACAGTTAAACTTTCGAAAAAAAAAATTGTCAAAGTTCTATGTCCCTAGAAATAAAGTTTTAAGTTCAATGAAGTCTAAAAAGAAGATATAGAATATAGATTTAATATTTTATTTTCAACAAAAAGCGGTCAGAATTATTAAAAATTTGAAACGTGATTGTCAAGATATTTTCTTTAATAAATATATACAATGATGTAATATATTATATATATATATATATATAATGTATATAATATATATATATATAAATGTATATAAATGTAAAAAAAATTTAGTATTTTTTTAGTATTGATTTTCTTATAATATATTTAAAAATAAAATATAGCTTTATATGATATCATTTTTTCTGCAATAGGGAATTTTTCTCGCAACTCTAATTTCAATCTCGAATTGAAAATCACATTGACATTGTAAAACTAAATACTATAGTGAGTGATATAATTTTATTGATTACGACAAAATGCCTCCAATTAAAACGAAAAAGCGGAAAGTTTCTAAGAAAACAAAAAAAGCATGGCGTAAATATACAGATACAAAAGATGTTGAAAAATTTTTGGAAAATTCACAATTAGAAGAAAGGTTAGGTTCTTTTGCTATTCACAAGGATTCAGAATTGTTCAGTATTTCTACAGCGCCTGAAATACTTTCAAAGCAAAAACGTCGAGAACTATTAAAATTGAAAGAACCACGATGTTTTAACATTTTAAAATCTCATACAGCCGTTCCAGATCCAATAACAAAAAGAAACCGTGTAAGAACTAAAGATGAAAGAAAAAATGCATTAGTTTTAAAAAAAGAAGCTATCAGAAAGTCTCAAAATATTTTGACATTAAAAGAAAAATTAAGATTGAAAAATAAAATGATTGCAGCAAAAAAAAATTAAATAAACCAAAAAGAGATGAGTTTAATACAAATATATGGAAAGAAAAAATTACAAAAGACATTGACACTGATTGGATGTCTTCGGATACAATCAGACATACATTAACACATTTTGGAATAAAAAAAAAGAGAATACCTTCTTCTTTGTACAAAAAACCTTCTAATATTCCAGCAGTTGAAAGTCCTCATCCAGGTACATCCTATAATCCTTCATTTGAAGATCATCAAAAGTTATTAAATGAAGTGGCTCAAAAAGAATGGAACTTATAAAAGAAGAAGAACATCTAAACAGAGTTACCACAAAAATGTTCAAAAAAGTATTATTTTATTAATTAAATTTATAAAATTAAAAATAAACTGTTATTATATATTAAAATTATGTTCTAGGTTTCACCTGAAGAAAAAGAAAATAACTTGATAAAAGAAATGTCAGAAGGTCTCAAATTAGAAGATAATCAAGATTTTAATGAAGATGAAGATAATGATCCAATAGTAAAATCTGTAAATCCACCTGTTAAAAATCAAAAAAAAACTCGTGTGCAAAGACGTAAACAAAAAGAACAGAAAAATTTGATACATAAAAAGCAACAAGAGAAAGTAGAGAAAAAAAAAATTTCAGATATATATAAATTAAGATTATTAGATAAACAATTAGCTGCTAAAGAAAAAAAAGAGAAAGTATTACAAGAAAAGAGATTAAAAAAGAAAATACTTAAAACAATGGGCACTAAAACTCTCAGTAAAATTAAATTTGAACCTTTAGAACTTGATTTTAAATTAAGTTCAGAATTAACTGGAAATTTGCGGAATTCTGAACCAAGTGGTAATCTATTGAAAGATAGATTCAAATCTCTTCAACAGAGAAATATCATTGCTCCTGCTAATATCAGATTGTAAGTATAAAATACTTTATAATGAATTTATAGAAAATCATATAAAATTATATGATTTTATTTATATATTTTTCAATTATACATATATTTATTTTAATCACATTAATTTTATATTTTTTAAAATAATTTAATATTACAATATAATTTAAAT